CCTGTGTTTCCTCACAGCCGCCGGAACTTTGCTCCGAAGTGTAACCGTTTGGTACACTAAGGTTTTGTGCAGTCGTACTAACGACCGTACCACAAGTGAGGCCATCGCACTCACTCGTAGTACATCCACACGCTTGTGGACGCTCCAAAACGTTCATCAGATGGCCATCTGATGAACAAGCGGCAGGCATCGTTACTGTCCGATGTTGCCAGTTTACCCGTGGTTCGTACCTTCTGAGCCACGGTATTCCAAGGATGACATCAAATTTGTCATCCAAATCCAATACGATAAAGTCATCGTCGTATTGGGTATCTTCTAGCGTATAGTGAATCTTCACTATACGCTTCATGACGGTTACGGATGCGCCTGTCGCAAGACGTACCGTCATCCTCGTAGGAGGTGTGTCACATTCACTGAATTTAAAGTGACCATCTTCTAGCGATTGGCGTCGCACAAAATTGTTGGACGCCCCACAATCGACTAGAGCTCGAAGGGACAACTTATTCGTCACTTCGAGTTTCAAGGTAATGAGTGAGATCTCATTACCTAGAGCAGCAACGCACAATGTCTGTGTGTTGGGAGCAACCTTCATCAAGAGGCCTACAAATTCTCTTGACGTTGCTGGATCAGTAGGGTGCTCCGCACCTACTGATCCTGTCCGTTTTTTGACGGTCCATCCCGTTGTTGCGTCTTTGCACCAACTGCGGACCCTCGTCCCTGCCCCTTTCTCATGGGTGGACGGTCACTACGCCCAGTGTCGCGAGACACTGGACGAGGGGCACTACACTCGTAAGCGTAGTGTCCTGTCTTCTGACATCTGTTGCATCTCTGCAACTTCTTGTAGCCTGTAGAGCGAACCTTCTCGCTCTCTACATAACAGAGTTCCATCGGCTCTGGACCTCCGTTGTCATATCGTCTCGGTTGACGATATGATGTCGAGCTGGCGCGAGCCTGTCTCAGACTGAAGTCTTCCTGCTCCGCAATTGAAATGGCTTGTTCTAGTGAATCTAGTTCAAGCCGGAACAGGTGAGTCTTGACGGGACCATCCGCAAGACCCTGCATGAACACCGAAACCAACGTGTGTTCATCCACCGGATTGGAACTTATACAACTCGTGAGATGTCGTATATGTTGAGCGTAAGCGTGCACATCACGCTTACCCTGCTTGAGCTTCAAGAGTTCGGTTCGAGCTCTGAACTCAGCTCTAGGCGGTTCAAACGTTTGTCTGAGCCGCGACTTGAAGACTTCCAACGACCCAAACGCGTATGGGTCGTGCAGCTTGAGCCCCAGTGCCCAAGTCTTGGCACGTCCTGCCAGATTTGACTGGGCAAATGCAACTTGCATATCCCCGTCGTCGATGCGACGCGCCCTTATGGCGTCATCCAATTCGACGAACCATCTCAAGAGGGAGTCTTCTTCGACCCCCCTATACTTTGAGATGTCAATCTTCAAAGTCTCGGGTCGACGCGAGTGCATCGACCCGCCAGCAGCAGCTTGCTGCTGTCTCAACAGTTCAAACTGTTGAGCACCTTGTTCTCTCAACAACTCTGCTTGTTGAGAACCTTGTTGGTGAAGCAAGGCTACTTTCTCGCGTTCTGCGTCAAGTTCATTTTGAATGAACTTGGCGATAGTAGCATGTTGGGCATCTCTATTGAGAGCCTCTAGCATGACGCTAACAGCATGGATGCCCATGGTCGAACCCATTCGTTCAACCGCATCCCATTCGACATCGCTCAAATGGGAGTAGCCGTCACGCGTAGCGTGAAAGCTTTGGTCATCTTCATCATCCAACATATTCATGTTGGATGTGAACGCGGTCCTTGGACGGACTACGAAGTGCTACCAGGTGTTACGGGGCACCCTGAAGCTTGTACTGGTGACAGTACAAGCTACTTATTCTGATAACAGAATAAGGCGGTGCCTCGTAACTTCACGTACACTCGTACGTGCAGAGGAAGACGGTAAGAAGAAGCGAGTACTCGGTTAGAGTAAAAAGTAGAACTGTATTTATAATAGTTAATGTCTGCAATAAATCACTATTTATCTTCATCTAACTATGTCTAAATACAAATGTGTAAATCAGTTATCTGCTCACCACTCATTGCGTGCGTCTGTCGTGGCGCGTCTTCGTTGGTTGATATAATGGCCTATATCAACCAATTAGGAACTACTTGGAAGTGCTACAGAATATTGTCCTTATGACAATATTCTGAGAATATAACTCTTATAGTTATATTCTATTAACAATTTCTTATAAATTGTTATGTAACGATTCACCCCGTTACACTGATGCAATTTACTTCAATTTCTCACAGCCGTGCGCGACTTGCCGTTTGATCTGCTGAGCAACAAAATAACAAGCTTCTACCTCCTAGTGCCTTCAGTTCTTCTCGTCAACGTAATGTGTGAGTTGACTGGTGTCCAGAAAGTATATCAATGTGCTTTGACTACATAAATTTGCTACTTGCACAAAATTACGGTACAGCAAATCTGTAACCTGGCACTGTAACGGGGCACCCTGAAGCTTGTACTGGTGACAGTACAAGCTACTTATTCTGATGACACGATAAGGCGGTGCTGCGTAACCTCACGTACACTGGAACGTGCAGAGGAAGACGGTAAGTAGAAGCGAGTACTTGGTTAAAGTAAAAAGTAAACTGTATTTATAATAGTTAATGTCTGCAATTAATCACTATTTATCTTCATCTAACTATGTCTGAATACAAATGTGCATATCAACTATCTGCTCACCACTCATTGCGTGCGTCTGTCTTGGCGCGTCTTCGTCGGTTGATATAATGGCCTATGTCAACCAATCAGGAACTACTCGTAAGTGCTGCAGAATATTCGTCCTTATGACAATATTCTGAGAATATAACTCTTATAGTTATATTCTAATAACAATTTCTTATAAATTGTTATGTAACGGTTCACCCCGATACATTACTACCCATCAACCATCAGTCACTTTAGTAACTGATTGACTAAATGGATACTCATCCCAAATCATTTGGGACGGGGTTTGCACTTGTTGGTCCGAGTCCGCAGTCCATCAGTTTCATCGCATGGTTAACAAGTCCATGCGGTGCGCGAACAAGGCCGCTGAGAGCGCGTCCGCACGTCTCTGTGCGGACGCCGAAGCAGAAACCGCAGTAACCGATGTCTCATCATTTGCTAATGCGACTCCGCCTGTGTCACCTGGTGATGCAGGCGCTCGTCATGAAGACTCTCATGTCTTTACAGGGTATGAGCTCGGTGTCTCGTACTCTCCTGATACGGATGACGGATCCGTGTCGACGGCGATTGAATCTAAGCCGCCTGCCAAGCGTTGCATGGACGATGCTTTGCGTCGCAGCATCTTTGGTTCATCTGATGAATCAGATGAACCATCGTCGAAGCGAAGGCGCTCGAGGTCGCGAGACTCGGGCGCTAATAGTGGTGTCGGTTTTCCTATGGACACCACTTCGCAACGAGTTACTAGTACTGCTGTCGGCACGTCGCAGGAAGAGCGGAACCGCAGCGTGTTGCGTCTCGCTACCGAAAAGAAGGCATGGCTGTCTCCAAAGTCAGTCATGGATCGCTTGTCGGCGACGACGAGTGATCGCTATCAAACACGATTGTTCGATTCATCAAAGATCCATCACCTTGACCCCAGTGCGAAAAACCATCGCGCTGAGCATGAGCTCTTCATCGATGCTTTCTTTAAGCATCGATGGTACAATGGTATTCACAAGCGTGATGGTCCCCCACTGCTTCAAGCGTGGAACGCTTACATCCATAACCTTGAGGATGTAGGTCGTGACGTTTGGACCGACAAACTTATCAAAGCTCGTGATAAGTTTGAGAAAAAAAACCGACAGGTGCACGCTATAAGCTGCATCGTCTGTCTAAGGAGGGTGAGTTACCCTGTCTTTCCTGGGGAGATTAGTGCCCTTGTTGTAAAAACAACTCTGCACGCGCACCTAATGAGGTCTACCTCCTTACTAGCCCGTGGTGGTGCGTACGTATCTCTACTGAGATGTACGAAGGGATTGACAACCTGAAATCCCTTTACGACCGTGCCGGGAAGACTTTCTCCGGCGGTTCTTCTGCGGCACAGGATGTGTCGCGTCGTACTGCTCGACCAGACCCAGTACGTCAACCATCAATTGGGAGCGGGGCTCCCAAGAATCCCAGGACGGGGGATAGCCGCGCCACCGGACGAGGTAACTCGTCCGACGTCCGTTCACGTCGCGGTGGTTCAACAGCTGCTCAACTAGATAGCGCTGGCCACCTCGAGAGTCCTCTAACGGAGGTGGAGGAGGAGGAAAGACGCTCTCCACACGATCGTGGGGATCCGTGTGTTCCCGAGAGCTTCTTTGATTGCGTAACGCAAGGGTTACGCAACGATCTCGAACATGAGCGGAATAGGCGTCTCCAGATGGCGGACACTGTCTCGAAGCATCGAGCTGAGTATGCTTTTGCTCAGCTTGAGAACGAGAGAGCTTTGGCATCTCTGCGTGACGAGCTAAGGGTAGCTCGTGGGAATGTTGACCGGTCTCGGACTGAGATAATTGCTCTGGAGACCCTTGTTGATATCCACCATCGGGAGCCCAAGGCCCTCTGTGAGATGCTTGAGCGCAAGGGCGTTCTTCATCGGAAGAAGCAGCGTACTGATGGTACGGCTTAAGCCGACCAACGTAAAACGTGCGATGCGTTCGTATCTTACTTGGCAACTCGATCGTGTATGCATTGCCTAGGCGGTGCAATACACGAAATGGGCCGATGTACTTGGGTAGTAGTTTACTGCTACCCAAGTTAGTCACTACATGTTTTGGTAGATTAACCGTAGACAGTAGGACTAAGTCACCTTTATTAAATAAAAGAGTGTTTGCCCTTCCGTTCTTGTCTGCGTTTTGCTTTTGCTTATCCACCGCTTCGGCGATGGAGTCTTGCACAAAACGGACTACCGTTTCACGAGCCAGTATGAACTCATCTGATGACTCGTTAGCTTCAGTGTGCTATGAGCGCACTGCAGCAACATCAACCTTTTCTTCAGTGAGGGCTTCCGCACTCTCACTGGCATCATCTTCTTCAGTGAGGGCTTCCGCACCCTCACTGGCATCATATTCTTCGATATCGATGTTATCGATATCGGCATCAAACGCAATGACTTCTTCGTCATAGCGTGATGAGCGTGAACCAAATCGGTTTTTGCTCGCGCGAGTCCCTCCCCCCCTTAAACCAGAGTCACACTCTAGTAAGGTGGGTACACGCGGATGGCGCAAGCCATTCACGTAAAACGGTGTATGTGTCGTGGACGCATGCACCGAGTTGTTGATGGCGAACTCTACCATTGGCAAGAACTCACTCCAACTCTTAAAGGAGTGTACGTATCCTCGAAGTATCTCTTCAAGGACACGATTGGCACGTTCCGTCTGACCATCTGACTCAGGATGATCAGATGTCAACAACTTCAAGCGCGTTCCGAGTGATTTGAACACGGAACGCCAGAAATCAGCTGTGAAGTGTGGATCGCTGTATGATACGAGTTCACAGGTCAACCCATGAAGTCGGAAGATGGTGTCAATAAAGACACAAGCACAGCCACTTGCCGTGATTGACTCTGGTACAGCCACTAGGTGTACCATTTCGCTGAATCTGTCAACAAATACGAGAATACCCGTATTCCCGCGTGCGTCTTTGGGCAACCCGAAGACGAAATCCATTGAGATGGATTCCCAGCACTCAGCCGGAACCGGTAGAGGCTGTAAAGGTGCACGCAGTGAAGGACTTGACTTCACTCGTTGGCAGACTTCGCATGCGCGAACATACTTTCGCACAAACTGATACTGGCGGGCCAGTAAAAGTCTCGACTCACCGTGAGATATGTTTTCTCCCGGCCACGATGTCCTCCTATAGGAGCATCGTGATACTCGAACATGATCCGCAAACGCAGATCAGTATCATCTGAAATGACAACACGTGGTGTGCCACCAGTAACGGCTGTATAATGCAGTAAACCGTTGCGAGTAGTGTATCTATCTGATGCATATCGATACGCAGACGACAATTGTTTCAACGATTCTCGAGATGGTTGTGAGAGATGTGTCAATAATTTCACAATCTCACCATCTTGGGCGTATGCCCGCCTCACATCATCATACAACGTTGTAGATGGGACTGAGGACGTCATAACCGCAACAGTGACTGTCTCACTGTTGGGTTTCACGACTGGTTCAAAGTCGGGACGACGTGAGAGTGCATCAGCGACGACATTAAGTCGTCCTGGTTTGTACTCGACCGTAAAGTTGTATTCTGCAAAGAATGACAACCACCGTGCCATTCGTTGTGAAAGGTGCGGGCTGTTTACTGCCGTGCGTAACGACGCATGGTCAGTGTAAACAATGAAGGGTCTATCTCCTAATAGATAGACTCTGAACTTCGCGAGTGCATACTTCATGGCAAGGAGTTCCTTGTCATGCACTGGATAGTTCCGCTCAGCTGGTTGAAGCTGACGCGACTGATAGCAGACGACGAGTTTAACGCCTTCAAGATCGTACTGCATTAATGCACAGCCGATTGCAAAATCGCTGGCATCACAGACCACATGAAATGGCCTGTCCTGATCGGCAATTGCTAGGACTGGGGATTGCATCAAGCTCTGCTTCATACCATCAAAGGAGCGCTGACATTCAGCGTTCCATAACCACCTCTCGTTCTTTTTCAACAAACGAGAGAGGTGTACAGTCATCTCGGCGTAATTGCGTGAATACTTATGCAAATACGCCGCTAGCCCAAGGAATTTTCGAAGACCTTTGACATCAACCGGCACAGGCCAGTCGGTGATCGCCTTGATCTTTTCGGGACCAGGACGTACACCGATCTTACCAACGATGCACCCAAGAAGTGGTATTTCGCTTGCTGCAAATATACACTTCTTGAGGTTTGCATACAATTGATGCTTTCGCATGATTGTAAGAACCTCTCGGACGTGGTATCTGTGCACTTCAACATCCGACTTTCCATCCATAGCACGACTATGAATAAATTCGTCATCGAAATAACTCGGCGCGAATTATCGCACTGGTCTCAACAGATGTGATACACATCTGTTGAACGTGGCAGGGGCATTACTAAGCCCTTGTGGCATTACTAGCCATTCCCAGAGCATGCCGCTCGGCGTGCTCACTGCGGTATAGGGTATGTCCCGTTCCCGCATTAGGATTTGATAGAAGCCATCCATCAAATCCATGGATGAAAAGATGGTACTCTTTGACATACCATCAATGATTACGTCCTTCCTTGGCATCGGCGTCTGAGCCGGTACCGTTGCAGTTTTTAACTTGTTAAATGCATGCACAATCCGCCACCCTCCTGTTGCTTTTTCGCACACAGAAGGTCGGAGAGCTATGTGGGGAAGTTGATTCCCTCACATGGCCCGCAGCTAAACGATCGGCAAAGAACTTGTCGATCGCAAGTACTTGTTCACGAGGCAGTGGCCACTGCTTCATGACACAGTACTTCGAGCCTGGTTTGAGCTCGACTTCGTGTCGAATACCTTTATCCTTCGGTAATTCGCACGGAACAGTTTCAGGGAATACATCCTTGAATTCAACCAAATCTTCATAGAAAGGATTTGTCTTGAGCGATTCCCATGATTGGGAGTCATATCGCTCAATTCGTGTCTTTTCATCTAGGACACTCTCGTCCATCGATGAACTACTGAGAACTCTCTCGTTCTCAGTAAACATTGTTGCTGACCTTATGTCGGCTACACACTCGTTGTCAGCGACGAGTACGCAGATCTGCTTGACTTTGCCACTACGCAGATCACGCAAGAACCTTTTATGTTCGAGCGTTGGCAACTGAGTGATCTCCGAAGTTAACTTCGGAGGCGCAATCAGATCAAGTGTAGAAGCGCCTACACTTGATCCGTTATTGACTATGACATTCAATGTCTCTGTCATTTCCTGGGGACTTATTCCCTCAGGCTTCGAAGGACTTATTCCTTCGGCTTCCCGGGGACTTATTCCCGCGGGTTTCGGGGAACTTATTTCCGCCGTATTTGTAATCTTGGGACTTATTCCCTTTACTTCCTCTAGCTGTGGTTGCGCAACTACAGCGAGATCCTCTACGAAAGACTCTCCAATCGATCTAGGATTATCGTTTCGCTTAACCTGAGCGATCGATTGTTTCTCTTCTAGATGTTCCCCGCTAGGAGTCCATCTTTGTCCCGGTACACTCGACTTATTCGAGTGGTGGACCTTCGGCGCAGCCTGTGTTTCCTCACAGCCGCCGGAACTTTGCTCCGAAGTGTAACTGTTTGTTACACTAAGGTTTTGTGCAGTCGTACTAACGACCGTACCACAAGTGAGGCCATCGCACTCACTCGTAGTACATCCACACGCTTGTGGACGCTCCAAAACGTTCATCAGATGGCCATCTGATGAACAAGCGGCAGGCATCGTTACTGTTCGATGTTGCCAGTTTACCCGTGGTTCGTATCTTTTGAGCCACGGTATTCCAAGGATGACATCAAACATTTCATCCAAATCCAATACGATAAAGTCATCGTCATATTGGGTATCTTCTAGCGTATAGTGGATCTTCACTATACGCTTCTTGACGGTTACGGATGCGCCTGTCGCAAGACGTACCGTCATCCTCGTAGTAGGTGTGTCACATTCACTGAACTTAAAGTGACCATCTTCTAGTGATTGGCGTCGCACAAAATTGTTGAACGCCCCACAATCGACTAGAGCTCGAAGGGACAACTTATTCGTCACTTCGAGTTTCAAGGTAATGAGTGAGTTCTCATTGCCTAGAGCAGCAACGCACAATGTTTGTGTGTTGGGAGCAATCTTCATCAAGAGGACTACAAATTCTCTTGACGTTGCTAGACCAGTAAGGTGCTCCGCACCTACTGATCCTGTCCGTTTTTTGACGGTCCATCCCGTTGTTGCGTCTTTGCACCAACAGCGGACCCTCGTCCCTGCCCCTTTCTCATGGGTGGACGGTCACTACGCCCAGTGTCGCGAGACACTGGACGAGGGGCACTACAATCGTAAGCGTAGTGCCCTGTTATCTGACATCTGTTGCACTTCTGCAACTTCTTGTAGTCTGTAGAGCGAGCCTTCTCGCTCTCTACATAACAGAGTTCCATCGGCTTTGGACCTCCGTTGTCATATCGTCTCGGTTGACGATATGATGTCGAGCTGGCGCGAGCCTGTCTTAGACTGAAGTCTTGCTGTTCCGCAATGGAAATGGCTTGTTCTAGTGAATCTAGTTCAAGTCGGAACAGGTGAGTCTTGACGGGACCATCCGCAAGACCCTGCATGAACACCGAAACCAACGTGTGTTCATCCACCGGATTGGAACTTATACAACTCGTGAGGTGTCGTATATGTTGTGCGTAAGCGTGCACATCACGCTTACCTTGTCCGAGCTTCAAGAGTTCACTTCGAGCTCTGAACTCAGCTATGAGCGGTTCAAACGTTTGTCTGAGCCGCGACTTGAAGACTTCCAACGACCCAAACGCATATGGGTCGTGCAACTTGAGCCCCAGTGCCCAAGTCTTGTCACGTCCTGCCAGATTTGACTGGGCAAATGCAACTTGCATATCCCCGTCGTCGATGCGACGCGCCCTTATGGCACCGTCTAATTCGACGAATTATCTCAAGAGGGATTCCTCTTCGACTCCCCTATACTTCAACCAACTAGGAACTACTCGTAAGTGCTGCAGAATATTGTCCTTATGACAATATTCTGAGAATACAACTCCTTTAGTTATATTCTAATAACAATTTCTTATAAATTGTTATGTAACGGTTCACCTTGTTACAATATCAAGAGCTTGTGATCTTTCTCTCGCTTCAAAAAAACTATTGCAACGCTTTGATCACTTGCAGAATCTGGACCGTCAGTCTCGCATTAATAAGATACTTAGCGCCGCCGTTAATGGCGTCGCATCTTCAATAGTGCATATGTAACGGATTTTCACGCGGTTAGCGAACCGGTTTTGTGGTCTGTTCACACCAAGTAAGAATCAATGAATATGAGTGGTACAGTTTTGGTACCACGTACTTACGTTAACATCGTACCTTATCGGGTAAGGATAAGGGATCAGAATTCTGTCATAAGATCGTGATGCAGAAGTCAGGCAGACAAGGTTTTAGGGTGTTATTACCGTAGCTAAACGCGTAAAAAAGTTCAACTCCTCTTTTGGTCATTGGACACAAGTGCCTAGCAAAGGCCTAGTATTAAGAGTCGTAGCCCTGCCAAGACGTTTATGCTTCTGTAACTAGTAGTGACTAGTTAGTGTGTGAATCTGTGGATCGTAATCCCCTTGAGACCA